CGGAGACAAAGAGAAGCCGAGGACTCTGGGGTCTTCAGGAGGGGGTCGCGCGAGCCGGTGGTTTAGGAAAAAAGGCGCCTTTTCCCTGGGTTTTTAAGTGGGGGGGTCTCGGCCTTCCCTACCCGAGCCGTAGGAGACTCCCTCGCCTCCGGGAACCCAGGACCGAGGGGCCCTGCGAGCGCGGGACCGGGAGGCTGGGAGCGGGGGCTCGCGACTGGGAACGAGGGATCCCTAGGAAATCAGGCTCCAGGATTCCCACGGGAGAAAGGGTGGCTCGCTCCCGGGGTTCGGCTGCTGAACGAGGTCTTGGGGTCCTGTGAGAACGCGCGGCTCCGGCCCAAGATGACCCCAGGGAAGAGGGAGGGGTGAAGAGAAGGACGGGGAGTGGTAGCGTGAGCAGACCCGGGCGAACCGAAGGGGGAGGTCTCAGGGAGGGAGTGACCGGGAGCAGATCCGAACCGTCCCCCTTCTCCCGCCCTGACGCGGGGACCGACAGGTGGAGTCCCCTCCGCCCGCTCCACCCAGGACCACGACGGCCGCTTTCCCCGCGCTGGGTTGGGGTCTCGGAACTTTGTTTGGGGTGCACGACTGGGATCCGGGCGGGAAGGCGGGAGAGGGGCCGAGCTCGAAGCCCCGCCCCCGTCCCCAGGTCAGACCCGCGGGGGGAGGGCGTAATTTCCGCTCGGCGATGGGGAAGCAGGGGGCGGGGGCTTAGAGGAGGGGGCGGCGGCCGGGCCCCCGCCCGTTTCTGGGGAGGGGAAGCGGATCCGCCCTGGTCCCTTTCGTCGCTTTTGACCGACTCGTTCCGGATCCTCTGGCCCGGAGAACCCGAGGGACCGACCCGACTGGGCAAGGGGCGACACGTGGGCGGTCGCACCCCGTCTGGGCGTTGGGGGAGGGGGCAACTCGCCGCGCTTTTCGGAGTCTGGAATACGCGGGGGAGAGCGGGACGCGGGATCCACGCGTCACCGGGATCCCCGGCCAGGGGGCCAGCCCGGCCGACGAGTTTCCAGCGGCGGGGGCTGGGACGGCGCCAGGGGGTGGCGGAGAGCGCGGCCGGGGGACCCCGGAGCCCCCTTGGCCAGGAAAGCGGGGAGTGAACCCCCAGTAATGCCAGAAGCTCCCTGAACTGAGCGGAAGCTAGGTTTTTGCGGGAGGGACAAATCACTCTGTCGGGGCACGCGTGCTGGGAAGGCAGGTGAGGAAGGGGGTCACTCTCCCTTTCCCGGTCCCCGACCCCATTGTCTCAGTCGCCTGCGGCCCAGGCCGACTCCGCAACACGTGTTGGCTGCACCGATATGAATGCCTTGGGGTTTTTTCTTATTATTTTTTGTTTGCAGAGTCAGTGAGCTGACTCCGACTTGTGCGCGCCGCTCTTCTGCCAGGCGATTTCATGCCGTTCAAAAGTCGGGACTTAAAGAACACGCCGCACCTTTGTCCCCCTCCCAGTTTTCCTCGCGCGCTGGAAAAAAACGGGGGTTGGCGTGGGGGCGGGGAGGGCTTCCAACTCGGCGGCTCGGTCTCCACCACCTCCAAAGCCCACCCTCCAAATTCGCGTTTTGTTCTAGCTAGCCACGTGTTTGTCGCGTTTTTGTTTTTGCCATTTTTTTTTTTTCTTTCCACGGGGCAACAGAAATTAAAATACTATAAGTTATTTTGTTGCCGAGTGGAAAAAGACTTTTCTACCCTAGAAGGTGGGCGACATGTATATCCCACCCCCTACCCCTCCTCCGACCCTCCCCTCCCCCCGTTTCTATCTATTAACTCTTGACCATAAACACAATTTTAAAACCAAAGAGCTGAAATAGGTGTCTGCCACATAGTAGGCATTCAATAAACATTTTTAATGAAAAACGAGCTAATGCAAACTGCAGAGCAAAGAGAATTCAAAGGATAAAGAGTCCAGGAGAGAAAAAAAGTATCTTGGCCAGAATGTGTGGGTCTGTTGCCTGGGGACTTTTCTTGGTGGTGTGTATTTTTGAAAGGACTAAAAGATAGTCTCAGAAAGGCTGTTGTGTTCCTTGGCCTTTTCCTAAATAGGAGCCCCACTCCTTCAATCTTTTCTGTTATATTGGGGAACAAGAAAGGGTACTAGGCAGGGCATTCCACTTCCCAGCAAGTGCTATTTTCCTTCATTTAATTTAAATCTTAAGGAATTAATAGACGCACCTCTCAGGTTTTCTCCCTGGGGGACATAGCCACTACTCCACTTTATTCCTAAAACCAAAGCAAATTACACCCCACAAAAATCTCCCTCCAGACCTCAAAACGCCTGTAAAATGCAGCCCACCTTTTCCCATCCTAGATTAAAAGGGAAACAAAATATTTAAAATAATAATTGAATTGGTTTTTTCCCCCCATCTAAAAAATATATTAGAAGTCTAAGTGTTAGCCGAAATTAGTTTTTAGAATGACAGTAGAGGAGAAAATATAAAAATTTACCTTTTAAAAATCAGCTGTTTCACTGAATTCTAATCCTCTCCCACCCCCACCCCCTTCACCAAGATCTGTGTGTAGTCAGAGGCTGCAGGAACACAAGAGAGGAGACAGCTGGGGTTAGATGCAGACCTTTTTAGCCCCCAAATCAGTTTTGCCTCAGTGACCTGGCTATTTTAGGCTGGGGTTGGGGGGATTAAGTGATGATTGGTGCTTCATCCCTCCCCTCTGAGTGAGCCCAGCACTAAAATTAACCTGATAGAAGGGTTTTTCTTGTCAAATTCACATTCCTAGGTTAGGGATGGAAATGGGCAGACTTAAGACTCCATCGTTTGTCACACTCCTTTTCTTTGGTTTGTGTTTAATATTAAAGACAACTAATAAACATTGTATTCATTTTCTTTTTTTTCTACACAGTTTCTTTGGGAAAGATTAATATTCAGTTCAGAGTTCAATTTAGTTTGTGAGAGTTAGCTGCAGAATAAATTATTTTCTTTAATAATTTATACAATTAAGTAACATTATTATCAGTTTTTTAAACTATTATTATTATACTCCTTGTTCACTTTCATTTTTCCTGGAGAAGTGTTTGATCTAATTACAGAATTCACTTTTCCTCTGAATTCAGAAACACTGAAACTTGACTCCATTTTAAAGATGGGATTCTGATCCATTTTCCTTCAGTGTGAACCTAAATATACATGCAGAGAGAGAAAAAAAAAATTAAGAGAATAAAACAACTCTTT